ACTGATCTCAGAAGACTCCAGTTTCCAACCACTCCCTCTCCGACTATCAGGCCGGAGGATCGCGAACGCTGTAACCTCTACTGCAAAAGTGAGTTTACGACTGCTTGAGCGATTTGATCTTCTTTTGCAGCTTTGAATGGGGCGTCAAGCTACTGCAAGCATTGGCTAACCTATCCAGTTTGTATGACCGGGAATCAACCTTGCTCGGCAGATGTCTGCGATGGTAAGCAGCTCAGTGCAGCATCTACTCAACATTCCCGATCTCGTATCAGCGAATTGCCAACCATCCTTCTTCAGTTCGGTCAGGAGCTACGATTCCGCCTCAGCCCACACCGTCCAAGGAAACTGCTGATGCCTGCGATCAGTATTGTCGAGACCTCAATAACCCTGGAAGTTATTGCAAGTGGTGGAGATCTCCTCCTGTCTGCCATGTGGGCAATCAACTCTGCGGCGATCTAGCGGTGTGTGAACCCACAACAACTCGATCCGTGCCCCCAATCACGACTACTCCAACCCGACCTACCACATCCACGGCTGACACGACTACAAGGGTTTCTACAACCACTCCAACCCGACCTACCACTTCCACGGCTGATACGACTACAAGGGTTTCTACAACCACTCCAACCCGACCTACCACTTCCACGGCTGATACGACTACAAGGGTTTCTACAACCACTCCAACCCGACCTACCACTTCCACGGCTGATACGACTACAAGGGTTTCTACAACCACTCCAACCCGACCTACCACATCTACGGTTCCTACGACTACAAGGGTTTCTACAACCACTCCAACCCGACCTACCACATCCACGGCTGATACGACTACAAGGGTTTCTACAACCACTCCAACTCGACCTACCACATCTACGGTTCCTACGACTACAAGGGTTTCTACAACCACTCCAACTCGACCTACCACATCTACGGTTCCTACGACTACAAGGGTTTCTACAACCACTCCAACTCGACCTATCACATCCACGGCTGATACGACTACAAGGGTTCCTACAACCACTCCAACTCGACCTACCACATCTACGGTTCCTATGACTACAAGGGTTCCTACAACCACTCCAACTCGACCTACCACATCTACGGTTCCTACGACTACAAGGGTTCCTACAACCACTCCAACTCGACCTACCACATTCATGGCTGATACGACTACAAAGGTTGCTACAACCACTCCAACTCGACCTACCACATCCATGGCTGATACGACTACAAAGGCTACTACAACTACTCCAACTCGGCCAAGCACATCTACGGCTGTTACGACTACGAGGGTGTCCACAGCCGCTCCAACTCGACCTACCACATCCACAGTGCCTATGACCTCGAGAGCATCAACAACAACCACCCAGCCAACCACGTTCCCGGCTTCTACCGCTACTCCAGGGGTTTCTATAACATCAATCGCTCCTACGACGATCGCAGTGGTTCCTACCACTTCGTCCGTGCTTCCCACAACGCCGCGTGTCATTCCTAGCGGGACGCCCGATATTTCTGCTTCGCCACCTGCCAGCCCTCCTGGGTTGCGGTAAATTTGAAGTGTGTTGGAGAGTTGGCAATGACGGATATTTACACATAATTAGGTGGGTACTTCACCTCTGATCCACTATCACTAAGCCTATTTTCTCTGCACCATAGGCTCCTCAAACCGATCCGTATTCACGTGCATTCATACAAAGATGAATTGTGTTGTATGTGTAGTATCCCACTTGAAGAATCTCTGCATTGTCCCGAGACTTACACGGGATGTTAACTTAGGCGGATATAATAGCTCAAAAAATTGGTCGTAACTTGTTGCCACGTCTGCATTGTCCATTGAAAGTCCCCCTTTGAAAGGTGGATAAGGACTCGGAATTATCAGTCGCTCGAACAAATGATTGTACTCCGTAGCTGAAACTAAGAGGTGATTGTACTAAGAAGCTTTTCGACTTGGGTAAAGGTTTTGAGGTTGTAGGCCAAGGGTATCCTCTTTTCTCAAGCTGTAAAAGGTAGATTCGATGAACTTGACTGACTATTCGTGGCTGACTCACGTCGCATGATGGTGACTAGTGATACATGGAAATCGCAGTGCCCACGTATGCGAGGAGGCAATCAAGTGGAATGCAAACCGCTACTGCGTCGACGAAAGATAAAAAACCTTCTCACTAACGAAAAATGCATGGGCCATTGCCACATTATTCTGTTCTAAGGCGTCGGGATCACGCGGTCTATGAAGGTCAATTTATTGGGCTAGGTCAACAAACGAGCGAATGGTTTGTGATGTGGTTGGGGGTGTTGGATCGATTAATATCCAGTTACCATTTAGTTAATGGGGACTTTCCTGAGTGCCTCCACGCGGCGTCCCTGGACAGAAGCTTATAGGGCTTCTGACTAAAGCTCAGGCACTGGTTGTAATGTAGTACACTTGGGAGGTAGCGTTTGGCATCTCTCGCTTCGTTTCGACGTCTCCAATTGAAAATTTTATTCTAATGGGGACTATGGGTTGAATTGCGAAGAGGATTCTACTCGAGAGGGAGGTGTAACGTACTTAGTGTTTCGCGCTACCGTAGTTGTCAATTCGCCTGGTTCGATTGCGTCGAATTCAGTGTGATATGACCTCTCGGATAGTTGTGATTCGTTCTTCCTTCGAAGCGCTCACTGTGAGAGATGGAAAATTCATTAGATGTTATCGTAGATTATTTGGTCGTTGGATTCGGTCGAAATTCTGAATTGTCGTTTGGCTGGGGGTTACACGCCACTAAGGGGAGGCTGGATGCCAATGTGAGATGGCTGGATGCCAATGTGAGATGGCTGGATGCCAATGTGAGATGGCTGGATGCCAATGTTAGATGGCTGGATGCCAATGCTAGATGGCTGGATGCCAATGTTAGATGGCTGGATGCCATTGTGAGATGGCTGGATGCCAATGTGAGATGGCTGGATGCCAATGTGAGATAGCTGGATGCCAATGTGAGATGGCTGGATGCCAATGCTAGATGGCTGGATGCCAATCCGAGATGGCTGGATGCCAATGTTAGATGGCTGGATGCCAATGTTAGATGGCTGGATGCCAATGTGAGATGGCTGGATGCCAATGTGAGATGGCTGGATGCCAATGTGAGATGGCTGGATGCCAATGTTAGATGGCTGGATGCCAATGTGAGATGGCTGGATGCCAATGTTAGATGGCTGGATGCCAATGTGAGATGGCTGGATGCCAATGTGAGATGGCTGGATGCCAATCTGAGATGGCTGGATGCCAATCTGAGATGGCTGGATGCCAATGTGAGATGGCTGGATGCCAATCTGAGATGGCTGGATGCCAGTGTTAGATGGCTGGATGCCATTGTGAGATGGCTGGATGCCATTGTGAGATGGCTGGATGCCAATGTGAGATGGCTGGATGCCAATGTGAGATAGCTGGATGCCAATCTGAGATGGCTGGACGACATTGTGAGAGGGCTGGGTGCCAATTTGGAAGGGCTGGATGCCATGGTGGAAAGGCTGGATGCCATAATGACACAATCCTACAATGATTGTGGGTGAGCTAGTAGTGAAAGTTGACTTGCCTGGCTTGTTGTATCGGGTTGCAGTGTGAGTCCGACTTCACGTACCATGCTCTAGCCTAACGGCTCTAAAATGCTTTATTTCTTTGAGTGAGTTGAATTTCAATCGTTGAAACTCAACCCCTGACTGATGTGGTGGTTGAATGTCAATCTTTGGATCTCGGTGAGTACTGGTAACTAAGTTTCGCATTGCGGGGGAGGTCAATTTCGTCTCGTCAGTGAGTCCCTGAAATATTTTTGAACTGTAATGTGATTTGTGATCATCGGTACGTGGTATAAAATATATCACGTATGCGTAGTACGAAATATAATATACTATACGAGGTTCGGGCGCGTGAATGTTTACTTGCCTTGTTAGGCGTCTCGACTCGATAGTGAACGTGGACTTGCCTGGTTCGAACTTATCGAGCTGCAGCGTGAGTCTGCCTTTACTTACCATCTAATAGAGTGAGTATAGTATTTTTGTATTGCTTTTAGTGGATTGAACCTCGGGTAGTGACGTCGCATTGCAAATGAGCTCTATTTGCTCTATCAATGGGTTCCACAAGCATTCGTTGAACTGATACAAGGTTTTAAGTCATCGGCACGTGATACGAAATATGATGTATAACCTCTTCTTGAGATGTTCTGATGCGCGGATGTTGACTCGCCTGACTCAATTTCATGAGAATGGGGATAACGGAGGATGGTAATGTGAGAATTCCTCGCTGAAAACTTACCAGTGACAAGGTTAGATGCAGGTTAGATGAGGTTAGTTTGAGAGCTGGTTGAAGCTCGTTGAAGCTGGATATCAATGTTATAAGAAAATTGGATGTCTCCAATCGGGGCTGAATGACATCGTGTTCCACACGACGTGTATAGAACGTATACTATAGATCCACGTTGCGCGGATGATTGGGACATAATACATCCGACATATAGCATAGCAAGGAGGATGGATAGTATCCTAATAGCTAAAATCGTGTGTTTCGCGGGAAGTGAACGTTGACTTGCCTGGCTCGAAATATCGGGTTGCAGCGTGAGTCTGACTTCGCTTACCATCTAGCATAGCGATTTGAAAAAGTCTATATCTCGTTGAGTAGTGGAGTTGGTTTATATTCCGCTCGTATTTGGTTGGCGGTTATCCACATCGTAAGAACTCTTGTCTATGTGTTGCTGAATGGAAATGTGAGTCACCGGTAGAGGAGGTGGGATGTAACACATCATCATTATCCTGAGTATGGCTTATGAGCTGCGGGGCAGCTGCTGCTCCTGACAGAATTTCATGGAATGGCTTATGAGCGCCTAGGAGGTGAGCCTCCAGAAAGAATGAGGATTGGAGAACAGCGTATCAGAGCCATGGTGTAGCACCCTCCAACTTATCATGAATTAAAAATCACTTAAGGAGCCGTTCTAGTTCCAGGTTGGCTAGAGACAACGGGAGGAAAAATGGTGGCAAATAAGAAGCTGATAGAGTCCCGAACGCCTCACAATGTGGTGGAGTCATCGAGCGCGTTGATACCCTGGTTATGTGCGTTAGCCACCACAGTAGACTCAGAAGCCTTACTAGCAGGATTCGATTACGTGAGCCGGCTAGCAAGCTAGCTAATGCCACTAACGACCGTGCCTTCATATCATTCGACATAGAGCTAAGGAAAAACCTGGTTAATCGAGCGCGCTCTGTCGCGAGAGAGCGGAAAGTGGCATATAACAGAAATTCACCTCAAGTCATTTGCCTCAGTGAAATTCAGGACTCTGAGGCCTACGCCAGAGTCATCGCGGGGAGTAGTTTGAGCTCTCTATCGTGGGAGCGGGGACACGAATCGGGCACCAAGGGATTCTGTCCGTATTATTATGAGGACTGCCAGGTCCTAGTTAGGAGAGAGTGTGAGTTCAAACCCTATCACCACAAGAATTATCTCGATGGGAAAGGAAAAGGCTTGCCCGGAATTGGGAGCAAAGATGAAGGGTTCGGAAAGGGTAAAGGTTTCTCGGAGGGTATTATGAACAGAAGCCCAATTTGAGTGCGTTTGGAAAAAAGACCGTCATATCGCGTGGTAGATCGCGTGGTAGAAATTAAGAGTAAAATTTTTTGAGAAGTAAGTGATCTGGGTTACTTAGACCTTGCTATCATTTACGATGATAGATGACGAGGCGTTGGCGGTCTAACGTAGGAGACATTTATTACTGAGAGAGCGATGGATTTGTAATACAGTTATGCGGTGTTGTGCGATGCTATCGTCACACTCGTATTGTTTGGAACCGAAGGCCAAGGGAGACTGCTGTTGGAAGAGCTGAGGAAAGGAAACGGATCCTTTGAGAGGTTATTATGGGCAGAGCTTTGGACTAACAGAACTATGGAAGGATGAAAATTGGCGCCTCGAGCGCAGGAACACATCCAGCTATGAGAAATAATGTTGCCCGGAGTTTGATAGTGATGGGGGAATGTTCCTAATGTGGTGACATTCACATAGGAAACTGATTGAAGAATGTATTTCTACTAGGAATTTGTTAGTTATGTGACGAATACAAGGCGAATTCTCCACCGGAACATTATAGGTTCCTGGATGATTTCCTGCTCAAGCGAGGACCTTGTGTCCTTTTTCCATCAAAGCGTACCTTTGTGGAATAATGATGCGATTTGTATGAAATATTATTGCGTAGATCTATCGTCATTTGTGATTCGATGAATTTGATTCCACAATGTGAGGGTCCAGTTGAGGCCTCAACTGTTGAGGTTTGTAGACTCAGTCCACACAGCGGTTGTATTATACAACTTGTATAGGAAGCGTCACAGATTTTTGTGTCCAGCGGAGGAGACCCCTCCGAGGGGTCACTGCGCAGCAGGGAAATACGTGCTGAGCAGCGTTAAGACCGGAAAAGGCTGTCAGTTATTTTTCGTTGCATGGGAATCAGTCTTGAACTCCGAGCAATCTAGGGTGTAAATAGCCATTCTAGATCGTCTCTAGAAGCTGACATGCCTGCAGTGGGAGAATGAGCTATCGGAATTCCGGATTCGGAAACTTGAGCTCAGTTTGATGATGCTTCGAGGTTGACATATGGACCATATGATATGGTACATCAAAACCCGTGAAAACCTTAAAGTTAACACGTGGCGAAAGCAACCGCTCGTGGAAGTTTTACTAGGAGTTTTTCGGTGGATCTCGAGGAGTTTTTTTTGGAGGGGCAGCCATGATCCGAGGGATGCCTCCTCTTTCGATGCGAGATAATGGACCGTGTTGTACTTCGACGGGTATTAATTGTATATCACCAACTGGCAAAAAAGAGTTCTGAGGGTAACCAGTAGAGAGTGTCCATTCGGTATAGACTATACCGTATAGTGCATCTATCATGGTGGTAGTACCACCATCTGTCAGATCATCTGACTCAGATGGCATCTGATGTGCACCCCACCACGAGGGTATCCTATTGAGTATTAAATACCGATGATAGTCGGGAAGAGAGTCTGTTCAACAGACTATACAGATGATCGGTAACAGATCTGTAACAGATCTAGAATCATCGGAATTGAGAGATAATTATGGGGATGATGCCCAATGATCGGCACCGAAGTTCATTTCGGATTGGACTGTGGAGCGCAAAAGAAGATACTTGAAATATTATATTTCCCTTCCCAGTTTGGAGTAGCAAAGGATGGTACCGATACGGAGTTGGAGCGAAGATTCGTCGAGGAGCGCATTACGCCAGCTCAATGAGCTGAGTTCATTCATAGGTAGCTTTGTATGGGTCTGAGGAGCATACAGTGTATGCCATACGCACTGCTGCAGTGCGTATATATAGCAAAGGATATTCTTCTCTACACCGTGCGTTATGGATTATCATGTAAGTAGTAGCACTAATGGGATCTGCATGAGAGCTATGATGAGTGCTGGTCTAGTACGGCTGGTTTATAGTATTAAGGGAGAGCTTTCGCACCTATCGGAGTAGATTGTTAAAGGTGATTGACTTCAAGTTCGAAGGTCTCGTCAGCGCGGTCGATAAAAGGGGGCCACAAGACCGCTAAGTGTCTTGTGTGGGCGGACGCCTCGACGCGCGACCTCAGAGCAATGATTGTGGAGTCTACAATGTAGATCAATTGAGGACGAGGTTGCTTTTGTAGAAAACTAACCAAGAATCTGGCTAGCCTAGAGAGAGCGAACATTCATACTGACTAACTTATGTACTCATGTGTTAACATGAGGCTACGGTTTTCTATATGGCCTATGACTATCAGTTTTAACCGGAGGTCGCATTGGCTAAATGTAGAGATTCTAGCAGTGAAGACATCTGGGTCTTCTCGCTTTCGGTAGCCTTGATGTGAGATGCATTCCGTGAAAATAAGCCTAGCGGATCTCACTCAACTGCTATCAAGCGGACTGAGGGTGAACGATAGCGTCAAAGGTTAGTATATGTAAGTGGTGACTCCAATTTTGGAAGCGGACATGTATCGCGTAATATGGAGTATCGATCTGATCATTCGCTCTAGGGATCATCATCGGGGACAGTGACTGCGCGCGGAACCCATTGGTGGGTCTACCAATGAGCAGTTGAGGAGGCGCAATATGCTATATTATGAGGCTTGTGAGACCTCGATAATTGGTCAGACTCAGCAGACATCCGGGCATTACTGAGGTTCGATGGTCCCGACTAAGATGATCTAAGTATTTTGTGATCCGAATTTCCAGTCTGATTCGAGGTGGTAGCCCATTGGTGAAGGGCCTTCACTGAAGGCTTCACCGTGGAGCAAAGCTAACAGGGACCGAGCATTAGTACGTCAGATGCCCACCGCACAATAGTTCGGGTATGGACAACGAATTGACTGAGCCTCGATTCGGGTGGCCACTGTCCCAGGGTCAGATAGGGACCGGATCAAAACCTCACTCTCTTCACCATAACTTCAGTTTACAAACACGATAAGTCCCATCGGTCGTGCGGTAACGAACGAGTCTCGGGACAGTCTCCGTCGGACACTCGGGGGCCCCCCGAGTGTCCGACGGGGGGATTCATCCCAAAATCGACGGTTGACCAAGAAAGTGTGAGGAAATGAGTAAAGGGTGCAAGAAACACAGACAGTTATGTGGCAGTCAAATTTAGTTGTTGATCGTAGTGGGTAGTGTATGGGGAGGCATGAGTAGTCAAGCGAGGGTCATAGGCCAGAGGCTCTGGCCCAGAGAGCACCGAATTGACTCTCTGTGGCAAATGAGAGTATCCCATTATCTCGCTGCTACTTATGCGGAGCGAAGCATCCAGCGTTGCAAGTTTCGGAGAATTTTTCGACAGAACTTCGAGGTTGAGACTTTCGGATCTCACTAGTTCTGTAGCAACGCATCATGCTTTCGCCCCACTACCCACTACTCCCAACTAACTAGATGAATGGATGTTATTGGACAACAGACATTCGACAATAGTATGGTAGAGTGTTCAGGGTAAACCAGCGAGCGAGTAAAGTTGAATGAAGGTCAATTTATTGGGCTAGGT